CGCCATCCGACCGCAATGTCGCCGAAGAAGTATTCGGCTCGCCCCGCTGCCGATTCCACCCAGCCAAAGCAGAGGAAGCCGAAGGCGCCGATGGCAAGACCACTGGGCGTGTCGAACGCCGAGTGGAGGGCGGAAGTTCAGCGTCGAGAGGTTGTCACCACCGACCGGCGGAACAGGCTCATCGCCAAGAGCCAGGGACGCGGCAGCGGCGGAGCAGGCAGAGGCGTCTCACGCGGGGATGATGAATTCGCCCGGCCACTGCCCACAAGCTGCGTGGGGGAGCTAACAGAGCGTCGCCGTTGCCGGCCAACTTCTCGCAGCCGCCGCCCTAGGGGTACGCACCCTCGCCTGACTACTCCGACGACGACGCACATGGAGACTTCAACCCCATCATCACTTTCCCGCCTCCCGCCTTCTCTCGAGGAACAAGTCATGCGAGAAGTGGAGGGAGGTCCGGCGCACTCTCGCCAAGGCCAAGGAGACCTACAAGCCGGACGCGCCTGCCCCGGCGACGACAGAAGGGCGCCCTGATGGCAACAAGATAGCCAAAGCGGCGAGGGACGTGGCGCCCGCTGTCGAACGGTTGCAATCTTCCCTCGAGCAGTGCATCGCTGACGCCAAGAATAGCGCCGCCAAGAGGGAGGAGAAATCCGACGCGCGGTGGTCGGCGTTGATGACGAAGTAGGACGTCAAGCTTGACCTTCTCAAGACCAACGTCGCTGCAAAGAAGAGGAACACTGATCTGGCGTTCCTGATGGAGGCGGACATGTTGATGATGGACGAGTAGGTAAAGGTGTGGTACTGATGACCCACAAGTGTAGGGGATCTAGCGTAGTCCTTTCGATAAGTAAAAGTGTCGAACCCAACAAGGAGCAGAAAGAAATGATAAGCGGTTTTCAGTAAGGTTTTCTGCAAGCACTGAAATTGTAGGTGATAGATAGTTTTGTGATAAGATAAATTGTAACGGGTAACAAGTAAATAAAGTAAAAAAAAGTGCAGCAAGGTGGCCAAATCC